TTAGATATGCTGAAGAGGGGACAAGATCACTCTAGTGTTGATTGGGTACATCTGTTGACATCATGAGGGATGTAGTTACCTCCAATAAATGTATGTTTTTGCTAGGGTGTATCTGCACATAACTTTGGTGGAGGATCCTATGTTTGTGAAGGTATGACCTGTAGAATTAAGAGAGAGAGTATAGAGAGAGACAGATTAGTGTGCTAGAATTAGATAGGTTCCCTACAATGTGTAAAGACCTTTATATTTATAAGGATATATATGTAATTCTAATGGGCCAAGCTTGTTATTATAATACGAATATAGACCCTAATCCTAATAAGTCTATTATAACTATTCATAATACTCCCCCTCAAGCTGAAACATAGATATTAATCATGCTCAGCTTGTTACAAATATAATTGCTACGTGTTTCATTTAAAGCCTTTGTAAATACATTTGCTAGTTGGTTGCCTATCCTAACATGAGAGATGGATATAAGTTTTTGCTGAACTTTTTCTTGAATAAAGTGGCAATTTATCTTAATATGTTTCGTCCGTTCATAAAAAACTGAATTTGAGGCAATATACATTGCTGTCTGGTTATTACACCAAAGTTGCATAGACTTAGTGCTTCTAAATCCTATCTCGTCCAACATATATTTCAACAACATTAACTCACAAGTAGTCTGAGCCATCACCCTGCATTTTGATTCCGTACTCGATCTTGATATGATGTTTTGTTTCTTACTTTTCCATGAAATTAAATTACCTCCCAAGAATACATAGTATTTGATAATAGATTTTTTGTCCATAGATCCTGTCCAATCAGCATTAGAAAATGCCTTTATCTATGCATGTCCATGATTTTTGTACACAATTCCTTTTCCTGGTACTTTCTTCAAATACTTAATAAAGGTGATAAAATACACCGGATTTCAAATTAATTGGGAAAGGGCCCCAAACATAATCACGAATAATTTCAAAGGGGACATGACCCCTTTTCTTTAAATGAGGTAAATAAATATTACGATAATGTTTAACAAACTAATATGACTCATAATAAAAATTAGACTTTATACTAGGACATAATTTTCTAAGAACTCCTAAAGACAGATGACCCAATGACAATAAAGTTGGAAAGGAAACACTCTTTCATTCCTAAAAGCAATAGAAGCTTGCAGAAGTCTTTCTTATGCCAATATGTACAGTCCATTAGATTCCTTATCTCTACCAATAATCTTCTGTGCCACCAAATCCTGAAAAACACAATAATTAAAAAAGAATGTTACTGAGCAATTTAAAGATGAAGTGATCTGGCTAATGGATAACAAATTTAAGGAAAATTGATGTAAGTATAAAACAGAGGATAAGGGTAAGGTTGAAACTGAGGTGGTACATTCGTTGCCCTTAATATGGGTACTAGAACTATCAATGAGTATTACAGAAGAATGAGAACTGAATAGACAAAAAGAGGAAAGGATACATGAATCCCCAGACATATGATCAGTAGCGCCAGAATCAATGACCCAAAGTCTGGGAGAAGAGGAAAGACATGTAGTAGGATTACCTTTTTGGACAAAAGTGGCTGTAGAGGATGTAGACGGCTGTTGGGACATCTGAAACTGAATATACTGAATAAATTCCTCATCATTTGTATGCACAGTACGTCCTTTTTTTTTTTGAGTAGCTGTATTAGGCTGAGATACCAAGTTAGCAAAGTGAGAATTACCTTGTGAGTAAGAAAACAACTAATTCAGTGGAGGATGAGTGCACTGACTCCAATAATGATATGTGCCACAATTGTATCACTATACATTACCATGACCTCCACTACGTTCATGGCCACGACTACTTTTACCACCTTTACCACCACTGCGTAACCGTATTGGGTTACCAATATAGAGTAGTCAGGAGACTTATTTTCTGTAGTACTCTTGGGTTCTTTAAAGAAAGACTGCATAACTCTGGAGAAGATATTGGTAAGATTATCAATATGCTTACTTGATAGAATCTGGGACCGAACTACTTCATATTCTGGATCAAGTTTGGAGAGCCAGCTCAAAGTCATGAGTTTCTTTTGTTGCGCTATCGTTACGTCAATGGTTTTGCAGGCTAAAAGAGATTGTATCTCCTTAGTATGCTTCTTAAACTCCAAAAAATAGTCCATTAGCTTTTGCTTATTATGTTTGGGTCAATAAATTTCGTGCAAGAGAGCATACAACATCAGATTTCCCAAAAATAAATTGCAAAAAGTCCTACAACTCCTTCACGGTTTGTATTTGCCTATCAACATAATTTACTAGCAACGCAAGGATCTTTTTGGCGCGTATTGTCCGTGTGTCAACATCCTTGGGATTGTTAGGTGCCGTTTCAGTCAAATGATTATCCTTTCCCATTTCACTCAGGTTAATCTCAACCAAATACTTTCACTCCATATAGTTTGTATCGTCCCCATCCATCTTAACATCGGTAAGATTGGATAGAGATACAATCTTCGTAACAGTCTCCTTATGCTGTGCATCCTACACATCCTGGCTATCATGTTCAGACATTGTATATCCATAAACAATGATGGAACTGCCTGGGTTTTTGTCTCAACAGCTAGAAAGAAACACCGCACTCAAACTGTAAACGTCAAAAAGTCCTACAACTCCTTCACGGTTTGTATTTGCCTATCAACATAATTTACTAGCAACGCAAGGATCTTTTTGTCGCGTATTGTCCGTGTGTCAACATCCTTGGGATTGTCAGGTGCTGTTTCAGTCAAATGATTATCCTTTCCCATTTCACTCAGGTTAATCTCAACCAAATACTTTCACTCCATATAGTTTGTACCGTCCCCATCCATCTTTACATCGGTAAGCTTGGATAGAGATACAATCTTCGTAACAGTCTCCTTATGTTGTGCATCCTACACGTCCTACACATCCTGGCTATCATGTTCAGACATTGTATATCCACAAACAGTGATGGAACTGCCTGGGTTTTTGTCTCAACAGCTAGAAAGAAACACCGCACTCAAACTGTAAACGTCAAATTATTGCATATTCTAGTCACCGGAAACAATTTTCATCCCCACAGTAGCTATGGTCGGCCTTGTCTAAAGCTGCTATTTTTTTTTTCTTTCCTTTTTCGGGCGGCGGTGGCGGCAGCAATGAGGGGCACTGATGGCGGGTGGTGAGGGAGAACCCTAGGAGACTTTTGATACCATATAGAATTAAGAGAGAGAGAGAGAGAGATAAAGAGAGAGAAACAGATTAGGTGTGCTGGATTACCCAAGTGTTCGTGTGTGGTCATCGATGAACAAGTGCAAATGATTTAGAAGACTTATAAGGTTGTGCAGGGTAACTATTTGTTGCATGCTAGCTAATTGACAAATTTCACGTTGAAAAATTTGTGAATTTTTATTGAAGATTGAAGGTAACATTTTGTTTCAGGTACATAAAATTGGGGTGACTTGGGTGATAGTGCCACAACATCACATTTACCCTTTTCTAGTACTAGCAACAGACCTCTTCCTCTTATGTTTTTCCTTGTTGTCAGCTTGAAGGAAGTATAAACCCGCTGATTCCTCAGCATTGTCAATCCTCTTCAAATCCATTGCCTTAAATTCACATACATTTGGAAGAAACTTAGTAGCCTAGGGTGACTTAGGTGATAGTACCACAATCCACAACATCACATCATTTACCCCTTGTCCAGTACTAGCAACACAACCTCTTCCTCTATGTTGTTCCTACTTCCTTGTTGTCAGCTTGAAGGAAGTATAGACCCGCAGATTCCTCAGCACTGTCAATCCTCTTCCTCAAATCCATTGCCTGAAATTCACACACATTTGGAAGGATCTTATTAGCAAAATTAAGGTCTCAAGTAAGTTTACTAATAGATAATAGGTTGCAGACATAGAAAACAGAATTCAGTGTGATGTCCTTTGATACCACAACTTGCTGCTTCCGAAGAAGGAATTCTTCCCATTAAGATGCATAGAGATAGTGCGTGAGAGTGTAATTGGAGCATTAGAAGACGCCAATGGTGGAGCACTAGTATCAGTGGAAAAGAAAGGATAGCTTGGCGCCACCATAGGTCAGGATTGTGATGCTCGTGATACCAGGTTGATTAATATAGGACACAGAGATTAATCATTGTGAATATTATTGAATTTATATCTATATGATACAAAGAGAGACTTGTATATATAGTGTTCACTAATCCTAATCAGTACAACTGTCATAACAGCAAGTTAGTTACAACTAAAGCTACGAGAAACTAGTCAGTTCCAGAAGCTTTACTAACATATACTAACAAATAATGTGGTTTTCTCTGATTTACTAACCACTAGAAATTAATATCAATTGGCTTAGATGCCTTTTTCATTCCATTCTCCCAAATAAATAATACAATCTCATTTACATCAATTAACTACAGAATATTTTATTTCCTAACTGTCTAGTCTAAATTAGGAATATAATTATACACTATAAATAAATTGATGTCTAGATACAATATATAATAGAAAATAATAGTTACAGAATATTCCTACATTAACAATAAATTGATGCTTCATTGTGTTTAAATTCTTATCTTTACCTAATTTTTGTCATTTCATCATATATCTTTCTATTATTAGTTTTGGAGGTTAATATAAATTTGAAGCTTTGAATTAGATGGATATCTCATAATGTTTGTATATGTATTATGACCAGTTTTGTTTTGATTAGGAGTTGGGAGGATTAAAAAACTCCAAACGCCACTGTGATTTCCTTTGTCACTACTAATTGCATTTTTTTTCATCCTTCTGTCCCATGTTTCTTCACTTGTAACCACTTTCTTAGAACTGTTGTTTAGGTTTGCACTAACGTTATATATATGTATCTTGTGAATCTAGTAAATGAAATAACGGCTGCTCCGCTCATTATAGATGAATATCTACTCAGTTCTTATTTGGACTTTCAAGTCTTGTTACCCTCGGCATAGTGTATTGAACTCTGTTTGAACACACTACATTTTAAACCATTTCAGGGTACTTAGAAAGAGTATACATGATGCAAGTGACTTAGTTTCTAACCGCAGAAAATTCCGTTGCACTTTGCTTGCTCTACAGAGAGAATCTCTCATTCCTACTCTTCCTGACCGATTATATGAGTCTTTGCTTCCTTGTAAGTTTGATTCTAATACTTTTTTCTGTTTTTAAATTTTTGCTCATGAACTCTTCTTCTATCTTTACTAACCTTGTTTTACCTTAGGTTACTCCTCAGAGCTTCGACACCTGTTCTCTAAAAAGAAAATGAAAATACTAAATTCCCTTGAGATTGTGGAAACTCTTGAAAAGGTAGATATGTCAGAATCCCAAACTGTTGGCAGTCCAGAGCATATAGCAACTACTCCACAAACCCCTCCTCACTGCCCAGGTTCCCTTGTAATTGAGGAAACTCCAAGGAAGTTGGATGTATCTGAATCTCAGGCTTCTGGCAGTCCAGAGCATGTAGCAACTGCTCCACAAACCCCTCCTCTGTGCCAAAAAATAAAAGTCAGGCCGACTGAGCACCCACAGAGAACTGAAATTCAAAACTCAAATAATTTAGGACCTTCTAGTCCACATGAAAGCATAGAGGGAGAGCAATCTTTTGAAAGGAATGTAGTGCTTAATCTGATGGAAGAGGTAAAGACTAACTAAATCATGAATATTCCTGTGATGTTCTGATAGTAACACTAAGAATAGTTTGCAATACATTCATAATTGTCACCCAACTCATGTAAAGAAAAACCATATTGTTGTTTAATATGGGTCATGGGAACTCTAAATTTGTATGAAACTTTAGAGATGGTACAATGTTTGACAAAGGGTGAAGATTCTTAGAATATATGAAAATATCCAATATTATTTTGATCATATTTTCAATATCTTGGACTATCCTTTAGGATTAATTTCCTTTTTTACTCGCTATCTCTTAGGTTTGGTTACCATATTTCCTTATCTCATGATTTGTTTCTTATTTATTTAGGATTATGATTAGTATAAATAAGGTCAGTACCCTAGGCTTTATGATCATATCAGCATATTGTAGCGCATCACAATAATGAAGTATATTATTCATAGTTTTTATTTTTTCAATGACCTTCCTTTATGCCTAAAACCCTATAATTTGAACATGTTATTCGAGCAGGACTAACTTTTGTGACCTGTCATCATTACTCCATAATCAAGTTCCCTAAATTTTACACTATGGATCAAAGAAAAGAAAATGAGGGGAGGGAGATTTTGAAATTTAAATTGACGGGAAAATGGGAGAGGGAAAATTTTGAAAATTTGTTTAAGTCCACTTCTCTTTCCTTTTTCTCTTCATTTTTTTTTCAACCAAACAAAAGAAAATGCATTGTCACTTGTATTTTCTTTCCACTCATCCCAACGTAGCACTAGAGTTCTACTTTATCTTCATAATTCTTCTGACATCATTCCTCTCTAGTTGGAACAGCATTACAGGTCACTGTCGACCATCCTGACATCTCCAATCAGCCTGCACTTGTTTTTTTGGCCACTTACATTACTGTATGTTGCCACTGGAAGATTTTCCTGCGACATTCCCTACTTCCCACCACTAGATTGGGATCTCCAGCTCCTCCTCAGCCCATCCCCATTTGAACCAGCTTACATTGGTCTTTAGATGTGCCTGCATGCTCCACAGGTTTGAGTCTTGAAGCTTACATTGATGCAGACTATGCAAGGTCACTAGTGGATAGAAGATCAACATTTGGGTATTGTACTTTCCTGGAAATTTAGTTACACGAAAGAGAAAAAAAGCAAATGATGGTAGCTAGATCATTTGCAATCAAGGAGTGTGTGAACTACGTCAGATAAAAATTTTCCTAAGATGACTCTTAAAAAAACTTGGAAGGTCCCATGAAGCTCTACTATGACATGTCAGCAATTAACATATTTCTTACAATCCTATAAAGAATCATAAGACAAAGCTTATTGAAATAAGTTGTTGAGAGAGAAGAGATTATGAGCAATGTTGTCAAGATAAAATCCTACCTAGAATTGGGAGGGGATAAAAGATCGTAAATCAAAGGATTATAAAATCTTACCAAACATGTAAAACTATATATATATATATTAGCATAGAAAATTACATATATAAAGAAATTAAGATCTAAATTAAGTCATAGGCTTAAGATCCAATACAACACATAATTAGTTAAACTAACATGTTTTGCAAATCTATTAAACTAGCATTAATCTACAATAGTCATCTTATCAATAATGTCCACATTGGCCTCATCATCATCAACACGAGGAGGTCCAATCATCCAAGGTGTATTTGCACTACCAACACTACTACTTGCTTCTCCAACTTGAATCAACTTCCTATCTAAATCCATATCTCATCTTAGCTTATTTTTGTCCTCCACAATCCAATCATTATTAGAAGCAACATCCTTAATGTCAAAGTTGGGCTTTTTTCTCCTCTTGAAACACTTGCTCAATTTTGAGTTAGCCATAACAAACAACATCAATCAATGTCATTTGCTTTAAATTATTTATTTTCTTGGTGTGAATCTAAATAACTACAAAATTTATTAATAGTTTAACACAAAAAATAAAGTAGTCCACTTGGTAATTTCAAGAAATAACTTAGCATTTTAAAAGCACTCCAATTTTGCTCACTATTAAATGAGCTGCATGTCAAGTTAAATAATCCAATTTTGCTCACTGCATGTCAAGTTAAATATACGAATGGCAAATCTTTGCAACTTTTGATGTTGTCCATCATAAGATTTCCACCATTGTGTTGGAATTTTGACTTTCAGTCCATTAATTTCTACTTTTGTACCAAAAAATTCTCTTTTTAGCTTTGAAATACTTTAGTTGAGCATCAATTTTATCTACCTCATCCATGTCCTCTACTATTCTTTCTAAACACTCATAATCCATGTTTAACTTCAAAATTGGCTTCAAAATATAGAGCATAATGCAAAATTGGGTTACGGTAGTACCCTGCAACATGCAAAGGTCTATGCAATTAGTTGTCCCATCTCTCATCAATTATCTCTCATAGTGGCATGAAACTAAAGATTAAAGAATGAAAAAGAGTTTTCAAATCAAGCTATAAATTATTAAATTGAACTAATGTCTTATACACAGTTTTTTAACGCCAAAAATGAGTGTCTTCTCAACTTTTTGCTTCAAAGAGTTTACCTGAATCTCATGGAAGGATGGTAGCTTAAATCCAATACCATGTCGAGCAATCGTGTCACATCTTTTTTAATTCTCCACTCTTAAACGACATTGAAGGATATAGCATTATTGTAGAAAAATGAAGCAATGTCAAAACATGTATCATCTCTCAAACTTTGCTTAAAAATTGTACTGAATGTAGCTTGGGTGGTCACTCTCTTTTTCTTGAAAAGAGTTGCTGGAGTCTCAACATCGCCTAGTGTTTTTGTTTTTTTTACATTTTCACATTCATCAACATCACTTTTTATTCCCTCTCCTTCAAGCTCTTGCTATGTTTGCTTTTTTACCACATTTGCTTTCAAACATCATCACGGACAGCAATACAAGCTCTAACATTTTGCTTTGTTCCTGCCAAATGATGCTTGAAGCGATAAACTTCTTTAGTATATTCATTCTCACTATATTTACATTTAATTCTCCTAGCATCTCAAAAAATTGAAACACCATAATTTCATACCACATCATTTCTTGCTCTAACAACATTGTTTGATTTTAAGCTCAAAGTTCTATCAACAATTTCACTGCCTGCAACTCTACTTGACTGAATCTCCTTCCCTTTTCTACTGCCACCAACTTCATTATTGGTATTGGAAGCCATGGAGAGATGAGACAACACAAAACAAAACACAAATGAAAGACCCACAAACTAAATGTTTGAACCAGCAACAAGACAAAGCACGAAGTACCCACATTTTAGCAACAAAATAGAACACGTGACACAGAGAATGCCTAGAGAGTTCGAACCACCCACACAAAAGCACAATCGCAGATTGAACCATCCATGCAGATGCACAAACACAAAGAAGATGCAGGAAGTGGTTGCCGAATAATGGGAAACATGTTATTTCTTAATTGGGTCATTATATCCTACCCGAATACAGGGAACAGATTTGATTGAAGCTACCATAATCTTAAAGGAAAAGATCGCGATTCTAAGCAATCATAGATGACTCCGATCCTATTTGCCAGATCGTGGAGGCTGTGCAAGATTGCAATCATGATTGTGAATTATGAGACAAAGCGAAATTCATATGGAGAATATAGATTGTATGCATTAGGCTTTTTACATATATAACTAGTTTGTCGTCCCCTTAAAGATTTAGTGAAAATGTTTTCAAGTTGATCATTAAAATGACAAATGTTTTGACAATATCTTTAGATAAAATTTTTACTCTGATGAAATGATAATCTACTTCAATATGTTTGGTACTCTTGTGTAACACCAGATTTGAGGCAATGTGTAAGGCAGCCTAATTATTACAGCTAAGTATCACCTGTAAGGTCTCTTCAAACTTCAACTCTTTAATTGCTTGAGCCATATAAGCTCATAAGTAGCTAGGGCCATGGTTCAATATTCAACTTCCATACTTGATCTTGCAACCACACTTTACTACTTACTTTTCCAAGAAACTAAGTTACCTCCTGAGAGGAAAATTGTCCTTGATGAGAAAAAATTTATACTATCATCAAAAAAGAATCTCTATAACAAGAAAATAGCAACAAAACATGCAAAGAATTTTCTACAAAATTCTTATCTCACAAATCTCTTCTTTTGAAAGGATTAAATCCTTATGTTTTGCTCTGAATCTTCCTATTACAAATCCTTTGCACATATATATACTAAACACAAGCTAAACAAAGAAAGAGCATCCTTCTTAACCAGCTGTATAAATGGTTCACATTAACTAAACATTTTATGATTTATATTCTTATTAATAATAGTAATTCTTTTATGAAATGGATCCTTTGTCAATGGGAGAACATGTTCAATCTGCATCACAATATCCAACAATTTGAGTATGCATCACAATATCCAACAATTTGAGTATGACCTTTATCTTCATATAGAAGACTCTTGCCTTGGGCTCCTTTAATGTATTTCACAATGTGAACAATTGCATCCCAATGTTCCTTACATGAAGAGTTAAAAAATTGACTTATTACACTTAGTGCTAATGAGATATTAGGCCAAGTAATGCTGAGATAATTTAATGTATGAACTAATTGTTTGTATCTATTGAGAAAGAAGAACAAGAAACATGATGAATTTGTGTATTTTGACTACATAGTGGATCATATATTTATAATAGAGATCATTAATACTGAATATATAGTTACCTAGTTACCATAATCATAAAGATACTAATTTATTTATAGTATTACTATAATTACATAATTCCAACACTCTCCTTAAGCAGGAGCATATAAATCATATACATCAAGCTTGTTGCATATAACTAATTCGATGACCTCTTAAAGACTTGGTAAAGACATTTGTCAATTAATCATGAGAATTTACAAAGCTAGTAGTGATGTATTTGAATAAAATTTTCTTTCTAATGAAGTAACAATTTATCTCAATATATTTAGTTCTTTTATGGAAAACTGAATTTGATGCAATTGTAAAGGTGCTTGATTATCAC